AGCTTATGCAGGTCAGATTTCTTGGTTCTGCTCTGTTCTTTCTTGAATATTCGCAGTCAGGACAGTCGAGAAGCGTGAGCCCGGCGATCTCTCTCCCTGAAAATCTATTTTAATTGTCTGTGTAGGTCGGATCTGTGCAAAACAATTTTTTGGGTGTCTTTCGTGCTGATATCCAAGGCCTCAGAAAACATGCGCTGCTACCTGGTTAGCAGTTTGCTAGATAGCCGTTAGCCAATATCGGTCATTACAGGTGAAGAATACATGCATGAAAAAGCCTTAATTATATAAAACGCGAATCAGTCGCTGGCGGATAACTAGACCGCTACCAACGCACGATTCAGCCTGTTTCATTAACCCATTTTTGTGCTGTGTCTCAGTGTGATGTGACTACGGACGGTCGAACAACATAAACTATGAGAGTAAGTAGTATATGTTGAAAAACAACAGTTGACAATACGGCGATGCGGCCTACCGTCATTACATAACTAACTTTTCTACTTTGTTAACTATACGACGGACAGCGGATGCGGAAGCTTTGTAATTCAGAATGGCGATAAGTGTTTTGTTCCCCAAAGCGGCAAGCCATTAGTCAACATCAGCGAACAAAAAGAGCGCGCATTTGGAGGCAATTCATTAGAAGATGGCAAAGCCGCAGTGCCACTAACTGGACGAATCTAGAACGTGCTGCATGTCAATTTCTGATGCAGGATTTACTCGACGTAAGCATACCGCACCCTTGCTTCTAATTGTCTATGGAAAGGCGGCGGCGAGGGGGGGGGGATTAAGCATGCCACGGCTCAAAGGCATCTTAACCCCTGCGGTGTCTTAAATGCAGGGCCGTATCTCTGAGTTGGGTGAAACATGATCGCGTTCGAGCAACAATTTCCGACACCGGATTTACTCGGCGTATGCGCACCGGCTCCAGGCTTCTTGTCGTTTAGCGTGACCGGATTTTGTTTGATCTCTAAACTAGTCAGCTGCTAGCTGCTAACCAGTCAAGGAGACAGAAAGAAAATCAAAGAAAGCGCTTCGCATGTGGCGCAACAGAACATTTAGTGATTAGGTCTCAACTTCAAGCGACTTCATAAACTTCACGTCAACTTTACAAAACAGACGAAAACGTCCAAGAGCAAAAACTGCAGTTTTCTGGTACGCAACGAAATGGCGACTATCTTTACAAAATAGTGCTACAAGTCTTGACAGTGAAATCAAGACCGAGAGCAAGACTCGCACGACCCTGTCTGGATTAGACAAACTTACATTTGCTATATATCGTGTGGGGAGAGGACAGCAACCGACTACCTGACTGACTTCAAGCGGTTACGTTCAAGTGAACCTCTTCGGATAAATCCAGAACATCGTGAGATAATCATAATCCATGAAATCCGTCTGCAAATCGAGCCTGATTTTACCACCGCCTTATCAGCAGCTATGAACAACGATGGTAAGGTGCATTGCATCATCGTACCAGTGGGCTGCCGCTAAACTGCGCGAATTCAGACATGACCAGATTGCCAACCATG